AACTCCAAAGCTAGTTCAAAGGTTGTCTAAATCTTCAGTGTGTTCAAATGAAGCATTTGTTTTTTGGAAATGGGCTCCCTAACTCTCTTTTGGCCTTTGAAGGTAATGTTGGTCTCATTGCTGGCTGGAGGCGTTGGCCTGAACTTGACTGGAGGAAACCATCTCTTTCTCCTTGACATGCACTGGTAAAAAGAAACAAAAGTTACATCTCTGAGAGTATATATTGGGCATATTGCTTTACTTTCTCACCACATGTATTATGATGTCTGATACAACTGGGATAGGAGGGCAATGTAAGGGCTAGAGTTAATTGTAGGAAAGTTTTTTTGCTATAGCTTTCACCCAAGACACTAATTAGTCAATCCAATGAAATACAGTTCTCTAGGGGTAAGAAAATAGAGGAGTATAACAGCAATCCAAAGAGGCAAGTATGCAGCTCTGTATCACAAAAGGCTAGTGGGCACCTACCTTAATTTCCTGCAGTAGTGAAAATGGTACAGTAGTGCCTACAGGCAATTTTGTCTTGAAACAAATCAATTGTGTTGAGCGTAGTCAGTGACTGGGCATAACTAAAGTACCTTTGGGTTTTACATATTTTATTATGAAAAATGTGCTTGAGCTCCTGATATTTGTTGTCCCTCGTCAAAGTCAGAATTGCAGTTTTTTTAAACTAAATGTTGCTTATGGGAATTTACAAAGCAAACTAATGTGCCTCATTGTAAAACCAGCTGCTGAGTAGCAGCCTTAAGGAGATGGTTCTGCAATATTGAAGTTACACGAACAAGTATTCCCTATAACTTTGTCAAATGGAACCATTTCTTATCCAAATATTCTTGAGTGATGACCTCTTTCACTGGGGTTTGCCTTTCTGCTTCATTCTCTTTCCTCACCAGCTATGGGCTTTCTCTGAGTACTAACTGTTGGCCAGAAATATGGGGCTACATGGACCAGTGGTCTAAGGCATACAGCTGGCTTTTTGTGGAGTTGTAGCATTCTTCTACCCAAGGCCAAGGGAAATACAACCAGGGTGAATACTGGCCAGCAAGCCTCTAAACCTAAGGTAACCTGGGTGCAGTTTTAGCTCTACAGAGGATGAAAACAGGATACACTGCAGGCAGGAAAAAGAGGCATCTGGTTTTTTTAATATTTTTTTTTTTAACCTTGCAGGAATCCTGCTCTTGAGGACCAGGCATGTGACCGCATATACCGAGTGGGGCAGCAGAAGGACGTTGTGATACACAGGTCAGGATTTTACTTAGCAGTAAATGAGGCAGCTGCTGCCCATGTGCTGTCTGGCTTTAATCAGTGAGACAAGGCCTTGACTTCTTTACTTAGAGCTAGACACAAGGTCTGACAGTGGGTTTGGGCACTGAGATAGAACTCATGAAAACATTTTTATGTGGCACTTGCCTGCGTATTGCTGTCCTGATAGCTAGCAGGGATTTCTTATTTTTCAGCCTGTGATTTAGTGGGAATGTCCTGTTCATTCCTGAGAATAATTTAGGTGCCTAACCATTTCTGTTAATTCAGTGGAGGTTTTTCACCTAAGCCTGGACCTTTCTAGTATCACTAATAACATCATAAAGAACACTTCTATTAAGTGGCAAAGTGGATTTTTAAAAAAGCATCTATAACTAAGACCTAAAAGTCTAACTTAGTTATTGTAAATGCACAGCTCATTAAAGACACCGGAATCCAAAGTGCTGCTTTGGGTACAATGATCTTGGTAAATAGATGCCATCAGTTATGAAACAGTCATTTCAGGATTTTGTCACAGAATTACTGCTGCTTCAGATGACCGAAGTTGAGGCTTTAAGTTCATCAGGCTTATATTTGAAAGGTTATAATATTTGGATATGAGGACAGCTGGTTTCTGTTCAGAGGTATATTGTGTCAGTCACACAATAGAATAATTATTAATTTCTGAGACAAGTCTTTGGGAATTTGCTGGGAAAGTCCATAAATAATGCTGACACTTGCTTCTAGCATTTGAGATGATGTGGCTTAGTTTTGTTGGGGGTTTTTTGGTAGGTTTTCTTGGGGTGTTTTTGTTTTTGTTTTTTTTAGGTTTGTCTGTGAAGGAACAGTAGAAGAAAAGATCCTGCAACTCCAGAAGACAAAGAAAGGTCTCGCCCAGCAGGTTCTGTCAGGCAAAGGAGAGGCCCTCACTAAGCTCACTCTGGCTGACCTCAAAGTTCTCTTTGGCATCTAATTATCTTTTTCAACACCCAGCAGAACGTAATTTATACTTACAAGTAATGGTGCAGACTTCAACAAAAGATTTCTGGTTTGAGGTGGTCATTTATTTTAAACAAATAACTACATTTTTTAACTGTTCTGGGAAGTTATCAACTTCAAGAATTTGTTTCAATACTAAAATTAGATGGTGTATCCATCTAAGATGTTGTTTTAAAACACTTTTAAATAAATATTTGAAACAAAAATGTGCTTATTTCTTGGGGTTTTATGTGTACTTTTTAGTTAGAAAACTTTCATTTTCAGCACAGGAGATGCACAGGAGTAAGTGAAATAACAAGAGAGACAAACATGAGGTAGGAGAGTTGAGAAGGTTGAGTGATGAGGTTGGGCAGGTGTGAAGGAAGCAAAAAAAAAAAATTTTGAGCACGATGCTGTAAACTTTAGAATCTGTAACAAAATTAAGGAAGGACTTCGAGAAATACTTCACCTTCTCTTTTGTTCTTAGGAGGTCTTCTTATATCTAATTGAAGAACCATTTTTCTATCCTGCTCCAAGTTTTTATTCAAGCTGGGAGCTAGATTTCTGTTATGTTCCTATGAAACAGAACCTGAGTTCCTGATTGTTGTGGGGTTTTTTTTCTTCTGCATATTTAATATAAGACTAAGGTTTCCTTTATGCAAGTCTTTTCATGTATAGACTATTCTTGCTTAGCAGATGGTCACATTTTGTTAATAGCAGATGAGTTGCAAGTCCTTGGTTAATGGTCTCTAGTCTCTCTCTTATCAGAAGTGGTGTGTGCAGGTGAGTGACATTTTTAGGCAAGTAATTTTTTAATTACTGTTGCATCTTCTCTGTTTCCATTTCCCTTTTCTGCATCCCTGGCCATATGCACTGCACATTCTAATTCTCTATTGATTACACTATTTCTCTGGGATTTGTTGCAGTTCC